CCCATTTGAATCAAATGTATGATATGTCAAGATCATTGTAATGTTTTGAGCAACTAATAAAAAAAATTGAAAAAAAAAAAAAAAAAGAATGCCGGCAGTGAAGGGTTAGGTTGGTCTGAGGGAGTGGTGAGCCTTTCTCAGAAAGGCCCTTGGGCAGGAAAGTGAAAAACTTTTTAAGGTGGCAGCTGTCACTTAAAATGGCCATTCATATGCTAAGCAAGGACCTTAAGCCAGCCCTATTTTGTTTTTTATTTAGAGACAGGGTCTCACTGAGATGCTTAGCGACTTGCTTTTTTTGCTGAAGCTGGCTTTGAACTCAGGATCCTTCTGCCTCAGCCTCCCGAGCCACTAGGATCACAGGTGTGCACCACCGCCTTGCATGTATAAGGCCCCGAGTTCAATCCCAGCACCACCACCAACAGGAAAACAATTCGCAGTGGCAGAGCAGCAAGGGTTGTAACATTCAAAGCATAAAGTGGACCACTGCTACACAGGTGGTGGTGAGAGTTTTGAGATAAAGAGTGAAGGGAGCTGGATTTATTTAAAGAAGAGATAGAACTCCTGCCATGCAGGAGGGGGCCTGATAGCAGAAAAACCCATTTTGGTGTGTCAGCTTAGGAGTTTATATACGGTTCTGGGCAGCGCCTGGAGCAAAAGCTATGTAAATTGGATATTGAAAAGGCATTCTTGAGAAATGAAGGGAATGGAGGGGGATGAGAAGAGGAAAGATGGTAGAATGACTCGGATGTAACTTTCGTACGTGCATATGTGAATACACAACCCTGTAATCACACATCACGTACAATCAGAAGTATGGTAAGTTCTACTCCATATATGTTCAATAGGTTAAAATACATCCCACTGTCATGTATAGCTAACAAGTAAAAAGAAAGAAAAAAGAACACTCCTCCTACTCCCCCGCGCCTTCCGGTAACTTCCATCTGGTTCACCCCCTTCCACCCACCCCTGGGACATGGGGGCTGGCGGGAGGCGGTCCCCCCGGGGCGCCTGGAGTCTTCACGTCTAGAACAGGCTTGCTGGTGCGCACTGACAGCCTCCGGGTTGGCTTGCAGGTGTGGCTGAGGGCCATCGGCCCCACTGCCTGGTCACTTTACACCTGTTCTGCACTAGCCCGGGTGATTAGTGGGGGCGTCCTTCTCCCGTTCGTCCGGGGCCTGGGTTTTCACCCCGGGACCTGCCGGTACCTTCCCCCCAGCTCTCCCCTCCAGCTGCTTTCCTACGTCCTGTCATTTTACATTTCAACCAAAATCTGTACTCTGAAAGCCGACCACTGGCCCTTCTATGTCCCCCACTCCCGGCGTGAACAGCTCCTGTTTCTACGCCCCGCTGGCCCTCGTTCGTCCTGCCTAGTCGTCGCCTTCCACACCAGGCGAAAGACAAACGTTTTTCTGCCAGTCAGGTCGGGACACCGGGAGGAAGTCCTGCCTGAAAAGGGCTGGACCAACAGCCTGTCACAATGGCCTATGGCAGTCAGGGATTGGATGACATTAGTTGTCACTCAAGGCTGCTTTGACCCGTCGGTCAGGGCGCCGGGGCGGAGCTGTCCAATCAGGCGCGCAGACGGAGGGCGAGGGCGGGCTTCCGCGGTCTCCCGGGCTTTTCTTCCTCGCCCGCTAGCCGCCGCGCGCCGCCGTTCCCCTGCCCCCAGCCCCGTGAGGTCCCCCGTGAGGGCGTCGTGTGACCGTGCAGTCCGCAGACGGTGAGTGTGCGGCCAGGACTGGCGGACGCCGCCCAGTACCGCCCTAGGGACCCGGCCTCCCCAGGAGCTGCGGAGCATAAGGCCGAGACCCGGCCGGCGGTGGCTCTAGGCCTTTCCCCCGACCCACCGGGTGGGCTAGACGGAGGGTCCCCGAGGTCAACTGCACAGTGTGGAGCTGAGTCGCTTCCGGCGGGTCGCTCTGGTACCCTGTCAGCCAGGCCTGCGGGATAGGCCGGCCGCGGCCTTTCGTCCTGTCCCCTCCCTATTGACGACCTCCCTATAGGTCATCCCTGGGCAGCTCCTGCAGCCGCTCCAGAGTGCGCGGGGAGCACGTCGCGGGAAATGAGGGCGAGGACGCGAGATCTGGGAGCAGCACGCATTAGTGGCGCCAGGTGCTCAGGGACAACCCCGCGGTCCGAGCCCCGGGCTCAACAGGGCCTTTCCTTTTTTGTTTTTCTCGGTACCAAGAATTGAACTCCAAGGCACTTGACCACTGAGCCACATCCCAGCCTTATTTTGTATTTTAGAGACAGGGTCTCACTGAGTTGCTTAGCGCTTCGCCATTGCTGAGGCTGGCTTTGAACTCCTGCCTCGGCCTCCCAAGCCTGCCCTGCGGCTTTTCCTTTTACACATAAACAAGTTTGGGGTACATCGACGCCTGGGCGTTGGTGGGCGTTGGTCCAATGCTATTGGAGGTTGCATTTTACCCCCCCCCCATTACCCCCGCTGTGTCGGTTTAAACTTGTGAACAACCTAGGGACTCTTAGCTCAAAAAGCTTAGGGACTTTTACTGCACTAAACCTCAAAGGGAGTTCTTTGGTTCTACTTACTTTGTTTTCTGCTTCTGCTACTGAGAGTCCTGCAAGACCTCTGTTTAAAAGTCAGTAGGTAGAACTTCTGCATGTCCGTGTGCAAAACCATAGCCTGTGAGCTCTTAGGATGCTAAGTTTCCATTTTGACCTACCACAAGCACTGCAGAGTGTTGGGGATCCCCAGGTGTGTTCGGAGTGTCCCATTCTCCCCCCCTTACTTTCTAGTAGTAACCTGGGCTCCCCCATAGACTTCCAAATGTGCAGAAAGTAGGGTCTCAAATCCATTTTCCATTTTGTAGCCTTGCTTCTCCTCAGGCTGGTAGTAAAACCCTAAAATTCCAGTTCTCTACCAGCATTCCCAGATGTCAGCTGCACCATAGGAGAAATAAAGTCCAGGGGTTTATTTTCAGAATATAGTATTTAGCTTTAAATGTAAAATTGGAATGGAAGAAAGGTAGCCTAAGGGGAAGTAGAGCAAAATGGAAGGGTAGAAGCTGTTGACACCCAACAGCACCACAGCCTGTGGATGTGGAAGATCAAAGTCCATGAATCTGAACAGCCCTTGACAAGGGAGGAGATGCAAGAGGCAGTCTGAACCAACAGAAGTAGAAATCTTCTGCTTCAAAATACTAACTAGGTACAGAAGTAAGAACTGTGTCTGTGCTGAAATACATTCACCCCAAGAAGACCTTCCTGCCACAGAGAACAGAGGGAGGTGGGGCAAGAAAAGGTGCATTTCTTTAACCCAATAGGAGACAGTAAAACCTAGCTGACATTCAGAGGACACTGCCTGCCCCAAGTCCTCAACTAATGAGGAACTGAGGGAGGGATCTTCTGCCCTAGGATGTAATGCTGATTGTCACAGCTGTGGCTGTGCTACATCTTGCAAATGCCTCGATTCCTGCTCTACTGCATGTTGCAGACCATTCTTTGGGTTTGCACAGGTGACCATGTGTCTTACACACACCAGAGCACTGTGGGTGTCAACACTGTGTCAACATTTGTTCCCAAGACTGCATTCAAGTGGAGAGTGTTTTAATGGTCTTAGTTTCACTGAGTACTGGATGCCACTTTTAAAAAGGTGTGTGTGTATGTGTGTGTGTGTTTCTAATGTGGCTGAACATTTCCTTTGAGTGGAAAGCATAAAGAAATGAACTACAAGTTGAGTTTTTAAAGTACTTATGCTGATCTATCTTGCCCAGGCACAGACACCAATGTGGTAACTTTAGGCCACTTTAGTGGGTCTTGGGTCCTCAGCCACTGCCCTGTCCTTTCCTGGGGCTGCTACAAGGACACAGCTTCCCAGTGCCCTGCAGAGTGCAGGCAATTTCAGACCCTGGGTCAACTCCTAGAGGGCAGCCTGAGATGTGGGGTGCAGCCTCTCAGAGGAGCCGCTGGGGATACCCAGGTCAGGCAGTGAGATGCTGGTGTTGAGGGAACATGATAGACATGGTTCCTGTCCTCCGGATTTTCTCAGAGCTGGAAGAAGAACAGTTATCACAAAGAGCAGGGGACCCCAGCAAGGTGGAGCAAAACTCTACAAAGCTCTTCAGCAGCAGGAGGGGGTGGTAGGATGTGCCTGGTGACAGATGCCTGACCTGAAGCTGGAGTCTGACAGGTCAGTGTCCAGTGGTGCTGCAGCTCCCTGGGTTTGTTGCCTTGGAAAGACTTGCCCAGGTATTTTAGTATCAGTTTATTTATTTATTTATTTATTTATTTTTAAGAGAGAGTGAGAGAGGAGAGAGAGAGAGAGAGAGAGAGAGAATGTTTAATATTTATTTTTTAGTTCTCGGCAGACACAACATCTTTGTTGGTATGTGATGCTGAGGATCAAACCCGGGCCGCACGCATGCCAGGCGAGCGCGCTACCGCTTGAGCCACATCCCCAGCCCTAGTATCAGTTTTTTTAAACTGTAAAATGCTGTTTATCAGTAGAGCTGAAAGATTAGAAAATACTCCTACAGGGCAAGATTGAGGTATAAGGGAGACCCCCTCAAAAAAAAAAAAAAAAAACAGAAAAGGAACAGAAACACTTGGTCTTATATTCCCTTAGTTTAAAAAAAAATTTACGAAGTGTTTTTATTCCCCAGAGTAAGTTTACTAAGTTTCTCAGATGTGCCCCCCTCACTTGAGAGTGTGAGGTGTTGCTAATTTAAAATAGAAATCCAGGGCTTTACTTGGGGGATGCTACCTGGGATAGAGATGGAGAAAACCTCTGTTTCAGTGTAGCTGCAGGAATGAATGCATTCCCAGAAGAAAGTGTTGCAGATAAGAGGGTTTCTTCTCCCGCCCCCGCCCCCCAGCCACTAGGATTACAGGCATGTGCTACCACACTCAGCTGGCAGGAGCCCTTTAGACTTAGAAGCTATAGAGCTCTGAAAAGCTGGGGGTCTTCAGGCAGATGTGATGAAGGTTTGGATGGGAAGCTAAAGGGAGACTTTCTGATGATGTAATTGATATTGTCCAAGGTTGTTCTCGGGAGAGTCCAAGGAAACAAGTGCAGATTTGGATGAGAAGTGATTCATCTAAAGGAGCACTGCAGAGAGGGGGAGAACCACAGGTGAGCTCTGCAAGCACCCACAGCTCCTGCAGAAAAGGGCTGCTTTCTTAGGGAGGGGCAAACAGAGTTAGGAAGAAGCTAAAGGGGAGGGCAGGGAGGAGGGGGGCAGGTCACATCCCAGGTCAGTGAGTGTTTTCTCAGAAGTCAGCCTGTTCTCAGGAGGGGTCAGGAAGAAGGGTCCTATGTTGTCTTCAGCTGCCAGTGAGTCAGAGTTCAGGGTCCTGGAGCAAGGAGGGAAACTTAAGCCAGTTTTGATTAATGTGTATATGTTCTGATCCCATAAACAGTGTGCTCAGCTCATTGCTTATGAGGGGAAAAAGGGGGAGGGATCTTCAGTGTGTGTCTGCCGTGGGTTAAAAAGTAAAAATGGAGCATCTTCTAGCCGGGCATGATGGCACACACCTGTAATCCCAGCAGCCAGGGACACAGAGACAGGAGAATTGCAAGTTCAAAGCCAGCCTCAGCTATGGTGAGGCACTAAGCAACTCAGTGAGACCCTGTCTCTAAATAAAATACAAAATAGGGCTGGGGATGTGGCTCCCTGGTCCAGTGCCCCTGAATTCAATCCCTGGTTTCCGCTCCCTTCAAAAAAAAAAAAAAAAAATGGAGCATCTTCTGAGTCATAATAGAAAAGGGGGTCTCTGCAGGAACTATTCTAGCATAATGCAGAGGAGGGGGTTTCTTCTTTCATAGATCTTTTCCAGGATTCTCTTTGGCGTTTTCTTATATATCTTTTCATTTTTTCCAGTCTTAAGTTATGTCCTTTAAACTGAACTAAGTGATGTGTGTTGCTAAAATCAAATCATTGAACTTGAGGTGGGGTGATGGGAGTCCCCGGTTTGTAGCTATTTGCTCCTGGCAGTGTGACTGGCCCTCCTGCCCTGCAGCTGGCATCTGAAGTGGGGCAGTGTTGTGGAGCTGAGCCTTGAACTTGGGTGTTCCCTTGTTCTTCTGCTATGAGACTTGAGTTCAGGTTTCTTTATTTTTTTATTTATTTTTTTAGTTGTTAAAGGATTTTTATTTATTTATATGTGATGCTGAGAATTGAACCCAGTGTCTCACACATGCTAGGCTACAACCCCAGCCCAAGTTTATTTCTTATGTTGACAGTTTCATTTTTGTCCCCACATGGTAACACTTATCAATTTTGTAAACATCAGGAACTGTCTAGGCAACGTGGATTGGTGCAGGAAACTCAAGCCTTGTCTCAATGACAATCCAATATATGATGATACAGTTTTGAGAACAAAGGAAAAATGTTTTATTGCTTTTGCAGCAGAGGAGACTCGGGACTCCTGACCCAGAGGCTGTGATTCAGCTGTGCAGGGGGATCAGAAGGTTTTAGAGAGGAGGTACAGAGGCTGCATTTCAGGTGTGCTCTGTCAGGTGTCATAATTCACTCACAGACTTGAGAGATGGTGTTTCTTAGATCTTTTGGTGCTGTTGCAAGTCAGAATTACTTTATTCTTGTGTATGAGCTCAAGGACAGCTAACTTCTGTTAAGCTGGGAATTGGGGCAATCTTTTTTTCCCCAAGTTTAGGGAGGGGGAGAGGAAGAGGAGAGTGTGAGAAAAATCCATTTCAGATTTAAAATAAGCCACAGGGTTATGTTCAAAGCATGAAATGGATCCTGGTTACATTTCTCTACTGTCAATTTCCACCTCCCATTCTTGTGGAGAAGTGGGTGATGACATCCCTAAGCAGCTTCGTCTTAAGCTGGGTGATGAGTGGAATCTTGGAAAGTCTTATTATTTCTCTCTTTGGGACATTTGCTGTAGCAGATGAAGGGGTGACTCCATCCTTGGTGGAAACCTGGAGGAAACACACTTACTTAAGCAATTAATATTTAACTGATTGTCATAAGTGTTATTTTTTTAATCAGGTTATCTTTTTTTTTTTTTCTTTTTCTTATTTTTTACTTTTAAGAGGACACAGCATCTTTATTTTTATGTGGTGCTGGGGCTTGAACCCAGTGCCTCATGTGTGCTAGACGAGTACTGTACCACTGAGCCAACCCCCAATTTATGTGTGTGTTTGTGTGTGTGTGTGTGTGTGTGTGTGTGGTGCTGGGGATTGGACCCAGGGCCTTGTGCATGTGAGTGGTTTTTTTTTTAAATATATTTATGTATGTATGTAGTGCTGAGGATCGAACCCAGCGCCCCACACATGCTAGGCTAGTGCTGTACTGCTGAGTCACAACCCAAGCCCCTTAAGTGCCATTTTAATCTAGATCCCTCTGCTAGATCCACCTTTCCCCTCTCCCAGGGTACCAGCCAGGTCTCTAACATACTATTTCTGGGCTCAGTTTAAATCGAGCAGTTGGCAACACCATATCCCAGGTAGGTTCTTGGCATATATTAGCCACAGTCTTTTTTTTTTTTAATATATTTTTTTTTAGTTTTGGACACAATGCCTTTATTTTTATTTATTTTTATGTGGTACTGAGGATGGAACCCAGTGCTCTACTGCTGAGCAACAACCCCGGCCCAGCCACAGTCTTTTTAAGGTGTGATTTATCTTCTCTGTTTTCTCGGTAGATTGGAGTCCCCAAGATGTGTGCTACTTCCACTGGCCACCTAAAGCTTTGTTCCTTTCTTGGGTCACTTCTGCAATGAGAGATTGTCTCTTGTCACTTTGTTTAAGGAGAAGAGCCTGTATCTTGGGATCAATTCCTTCAAGAGGAATCTAGGTATTTTTAAAGACTTTTCTGTTCATGAAGGATCAACCTTTAGTCCCCTAGAGAAGGTATCTACCAGTCAGTATAGCAGACGTCTGAAGCTTCCCATGGCACAGGGCGCTTGGGTAGACTCTACCTATAAGTCATCAAAGGTCTGTGTTTTTTTAATATCTCGTGCCCATTTCCACGGGCTGCCCTTTAGTATTTGGACTGTTTCTGGTGCACAGCGGAGTTCCCACTCATTTGCTCAAGAGTCTTGGTGCAGTAGCCCTCCCAGCTGGGGCTTGCTGAAGGTCAGCAAGGCTTCCCTCCCTTGGCGAGTACTCATGCAGATGCTTCATCAGGGCCAGGCTTCTCCTGCAGGCAGGAGAGGCAACTTTGTCTCCACCTGGCACTTCTATCCTAGGAGTCAAAACCCTGCTTTTTGGCCCATTTCTCATCCTTCTCAGTACAAAAGGGTTTGTGTTGGTACTGTTCAGGATGAGGTGTCAGGACTCATGTGCAGTTGGTGTCTGCATTGTCCTACAGGCTGTCCTGCTTTCTCCTCACCCTCCCAGCAGGCAGTACTCAGCCTTTTGCCATGGATTCAGCTGTTGTAACACATGGGCTCCTCTTCACAGTGTGCCCCCATCTGCTTTTTAGGTAAAGTTGTTTTCTGCATTCATTTCTTTATTCTGCCAGTGTCCCCCTCCTGAATTTAGGTTGATAGGATATTGTCATAGCAATAATTCCTCTGCCCCAGGGATGGGATTCCCTTGGCCAGATGGAGTCTTCTCTGATCTTGAAAGGGGAGACCACCTTTCCTGTCCTCAGGTCATCATCTAGCAGTGCTGGAGTCCACTGCTACATCCTTGTTGGCCACAACCTCTGCAGACCACCCTCTCCCACCAGGAGAAGAAGGGGCTGGAAGGCAGGGCAGATGTCAGGTTTTCCTTGCCCATTTTTCTACAGCCCAGGTAGGTTTCCTGGGCTTCAGCTAGGGTTACGGTCCCTGGGCCACAGGAGGATGACCTGCAGTTGCCTTGGGCAGAAATGAGGGACTGCCAGCACTGAGCGGAAAGGACTTAGATCTTCCTGGTGTCCTGCTGTCCTTGCACACCAGAGGCAGTGTCAAATGAGTCTCTGACTGTTCAGACTCCTCATTATGCAGCTGCATGGTTGCCTACACATACGGAATCTTTTCCACTTACATCACCTCTGATGGATTTTCTAATATTCAGAAATAATTCTTATCCTTTCTCATTCCTAAGAGACAGAACGGCTTTCTAAGGCCAGATTGTTCCAGTAAAACATCATCTTTTTCATAGTCTTACACCTATAAATTGCCTTTTCAGCCAAGATCTTTCCCAAGAGACTACTACTGGGAACAACCCAGCCTTGCCCACATCTTAAAATGGCCTGTAATAGAATCAAAGACAATGAGGGGGGTCCCCACAACCATGACCAACAGATGGGAGCCTTTGAAAGGGACCAGTTAGGGGAAAAGTTCCCTGTTTCCTACTCTCGTTTACCCATGACTCCTACACCAGCAGTACCACAGTGGTGTCCACAAAGGGGGATCAGGTGTGAGGATTAGGGTTGGGGTTGCACATTAGTGAGGCTTTCCAGATGACCAAAGTGTCAAGACTTTGTTGTGCTTCCTTTTTCTTAAAGTAGACCAATTGATGGAAGAATCCATCCATTTTAGGGAGAGAAGGTGGCGTCCTCTTAGGAGAAGGAGCCCATCAGTGCTGAGATGGTCCCTCAGTCCTTCCCTTTACTTACAGGAAAAGCTCCTCTGGTTCTGCCCAAGGCAAACTCTCCCCATCGCCTAATTCTCCAGTGGTCTGTTCTCGATAAGCTCAGCACTACCTTGCATCCTCAGCACCAAAGGGGTTGCCCAGAGCACCAGACCTTCCCAGGAAAGATGCTGCAGCTGGAGTAGGAGCCACTCTTGGACCCCACATTTCATAACAAAAAAAAATTTGTTATGAAAGGCTTGGTCCTGCCTGTCCCTAAAACCAGTCTAGGGGCTGAGGATGTGGCTCAAGCGGTAGCACGCTCGCCTGGCATGCGTGTGGCCTGGGTTCGATCCTCAGCACCACATAAAAAACAAACAAAGATGCTGTGTCTGCCGAAAACTAAAAAAATAAATATTAAAAAATTCTCTCTCTGTCTCTTTAAAAAAACAGTTTAGTAATGAGGACATGATTTTGAGAAAAAGGGAAAAGAAGTTTATGGTTTTGTAGGAGAAACACAGGGGCTCCTGTTGCAGAGGCTGTATTTCTGTCCACTGCGGGGTAGGACTTTTATAAGAGGTGCTTCAAAGGGTACATTCGAGGTGTTCCCTGTTGGGTCATAATTCTCTTGTAGACGTGGGCGATGACTATTTCTTAGTTCTTTTTTTTTTTTAATTTCTTAGTTCTTTTGGTGTCCTCCCTGAAGCCCCGTGGTGTGTACTGAATGAGAAGTGACATAGCCTAGGATGGGCAGAACAAGATTATGGAGGGGAGAGGATAAAAAGGGAAAAAAGTAAGGTTTTTAAAAACTGCAGTGAAAGAGTAGGAGGGTTATGTCAAAGTAGGAAGTGGACCCCTGCTACAAGAGGAAGGGGTGGGCTTTGCTTCTTGTGCCTTGTGTTCCCTAGACTCCAACCCCTCATCGGTGTCCTTGGGTAAAGCGTCCCTTGGGAACTTGACAGGGTGTTGTGTCCTCAGCCTCTGCCTGTCTTCTGGGTTGGGTGGCAGCCCTTCCTAGAGCTTCCACAAGGTGCCTACAGCTGCTCTGCCTTCTGCAGGCTGCAATGGATTTCAGTCCTGGGCCAGCTCACCTCCCACAGCCCAGGTTTCCCAGGGTGTGTGATAAGCTTCCTGACAGGAAGGTGTCAGGGAATGTGGACTCAGTTGGGATTCTGTGTGAATCATTAGAGGCATGTGGAGTCCTGTCCCTCATTTCTCCCAGGAGTAGTGAATTTAGTTGTTCACACGACTGTGCAGGAAGCAGGGTCTCAACTACATATTCCATTCGGTGCTTAACTCCTCCTCCTTATATTCCAGTTCCTGAAACAGGCTGAAATTGAGGGTGACTCCTGCATCTTCCAGGTTGCTCTGCTTCTGAACTTCCCTTGGGCCTGAGAGGGCTGCTCCTCCTGCATGTGCTGAGTGTCACTGACTTGGGCTCTCTCTGGCACAGGTAAGTAAATCTACACGTGTATGTTGCCTATTCTTTCTCACTTTGCTGCTTTTTCTCTTATGTAAGTTTTTCTGTCACTTAGTTATCTAAAGATGAAAAATAGAAACAAACATTTCTATCTTCCTTCAAAACTGGCTTTGGGGGCTGGGATTGTGGCTTAGTAGTAGAGCGCTTGCCTAGCATGTATGAGGCACTGGGTTCAATCCTCAGCCCCACATACAAATCCTAAATAAACAAAAGAAAGGTATTGTGAACATCCACAACTAAAAGTAAAATTTAAAAATGACTTTGAATAGAATGTATTGCCAATTTGACTTGAAGTATTTGTGGAGCTTGAGTAGTGGTAGAGTTTCCTTTCATTTAAGTGTGAGTGAACATTTCCTGTGAGTGGAAAGACAAGAATGACCTGGAATTTGACTTCAAAAGTACTTATGAAAATAAAAAGGAAGAATGGAGGGAAGTGTAATATTAATGTTTTTTTTAACTCTTTTTTTTTTTTAGTTATAGACAGACACAATAACCTAATTTGTTTATTTTTTTTATGTGCTGCTGAGGATTGAACAGTGCCTCACCCATGCTAGGCAAGTGCTATACCAACTGAGCTACAACCCTGGTCCTTAATGTTCTCATTTCTGTCAGAGTTAAAACTGTAGGGCTGTGGCTATAGCTTAGTGGTAGAGTACTTCTCTAGCATGCATATGTTCAATCCCCAGTGCCACCAAAAAAAAGGGTGGGGGGGCGGAGGAGAGAGAAAAGTTAAACCTGTAGTCTGAGTTTCTTTTGGTGGAACCAATTTCAGTTATAAAACCACAAAACCGTATGGTTAAAGTGTAGCCATTGTGAGCTCCCAGCATATACAGCATATGTCCATATGTGGCCAAAAATGCAGACTCTGGATCTGGTCACAATCCCAGCTATAATCCCTTTTTAATCCCCCTTTGTCCTCAGTCTTCAATTCATAATGCTTTAATGTCCTAAGTGATCAGTCATAACTATGGCCCTTCCCTTTTCCCTCTCCATTTTAAAATCAGCCAATGTGTGGATTGTGACCTGAGCTCCTCCTCTCTGAGCAAGGAACAGTTTTGCATTAGGGATAAAAACAGGTGGACTGCCCACCCAGGTGTGCCTGTTTGCCAGACTTGGTTCGGCTCAGTAGCCTGCCCTGCTGCAGAAATAAAGTTTGCTTTGCCTAGCTACTTGTAGGGAACTTCTGATCCTTTTGACACCTTTGTATTTCTAACAAAAAGAAGGAAGACAGAAATTATGAAGGAAACATTAATATATATTGTTTAAATACTTATGCTGGTCATGGTGGTACATACCTGTAACCCCAGCAGCTCGAGAGGCTGAGGCAGGAGGATTGTGAGTTTCAAGACAACCTCAGTAAGTTAGCAAGGCCCTAAGCAACTCAGTGAGACCTTGTTTCAAAATAAAAAATAAGAAAAATAGCTGGGGATGTGGCTTACTGGTTTAGCACTCCTGGGTTCAATCCCTGGTACCTCCCCCCAAAAAAGAAGAAAAAAAAAGTACTCATGCCTCTCTTATCTTCCCACAAACACTGTATCCGTGTGTTTGAGAAGAGGTTTCTTTTGGAACTATACCGGACGCCGTGTCCCCAGCCACTGTCCTGTCTCCTGGCATTGCAAGTCCTCACCGGGGCTCCCACGTCATGCCTACTGCTGCTCTGTACGCTGGACCCTATATTTTCCTTTCTTTCTTTCTTTTGGTACTAGGGATTGAACTCAGGGACACTCAACCACTGAGCCACATCCCCAGCTCTATTTTGTATGTTTTTGTTTTTGTTTTTTTTTTTTTTAGAGAGTGAGAGAGAGGAGAGAGAGAGAATTTTTAATATTTATTTATTTATTTTTAGTTCTCGGCGGACACAGCATCTTTGTTGGTATGTGGTGCTGAGGATCGAACCCAGGCCGCACACATGCCAGGCGAGCGCGCTACCGCTTGAGCCACATCTCCAGCCCTATTTTGTATGTTATTTAGAGTCAGGGTCTCACTGAGTTGCTTAGTGCCTCATTTTTGCTGAGGCTGGCTTTGAACTAGTGATCCTCTAGTCTCAGCCTCTTGACCTGCTGGGATTATAGGTGTGCTCCTACATTTTCTTCTAGGAGTTGTATAACTTCTGGTCTGATTCCTAGGCCTTTGATCTATTTGCAGTTGTCTTTCCTGCAGGAGGAGAGATAAGGGTCTAGTTCTATTCTTCTACTTATGTGTAACCAATATCCCCAACACCATTGGTTAAAGAGGCTGTCTTTTCTCCAATGCATGTTTGATCTCCTTGTCAAGCATCAGATAAGTAGGCTTATCTCTGTCTTCTGTTCTGTACCATTGGTTCATGTGTCTGTTTTTATGCCAGTACCATGCAGTTTTACTAACTTATTTAGTATTTTGATTGGGATTGCATTGAATCTGTATAGAGCTTTTGGTAGTATGGCTGTTTTAATGATATTAATTGTTGTACCTATCCATGAACACAGGAGGTCTTTTCATCTTCTTGTGTCTTCTTCAAAGTGTCCCATACTGTGTTTCTTTAGTGTTCCGTAATTGTCATTGTTGAGGGCTTTTCCTTCCTTGTTTACATTATTCATAGTTTTTTGTCTGTTTGTTTGTGAGAGCCTATTGTGAAAGGGATTGTTTTCTAAGAGAGTCAGAGTGAATGTTCTTGTTCCTGATGTTAGAGGAAATGCTGTCTGTTTTTCCTCCATTCATTGTGCTGTTGGATTGGGGTTTGTTGTACATGGACTTCATGATGTTGAGGTGAATTCCTTTCATCCCCAGTTTTTCAGAGTTCTAGTCATGAATGGGTGCTAGATTTTGTCAAAAGCTTCCTCTTCTTCCTATTTCAAAGAACCAATTCTTTCTTTCATTGATCCTTTCAGTTTTTTTTTTCCTCTGTCATTGATTTCAACTCTTATGATTTCCTTCTACTGGTTTTGGAATTGGTTTGTTCTTGTTTTTTGAGGGTCTTGGGTTGCATCATTAGGTTATTTATTTGGGAATTATTTGGCTTTCTTATATAGCCATTCATAGCTGTGAACTATGTAACAGCTTCCTGTTGTTTGTTTTGGTGTTGATTTCTAATGTCATTCCATTAGGATAAGATGTAGGGAAAAGTATAGGCTTGTGTTTTTTTTTTTTTTTTTTTTTTTTTTTTTTTTTTTTTTTTTGGTACTGGGATTGCACCCAGGGGCCCTCAACCACTGAGCCACACCCCCAGTCTTTTTTCATTTTTATTTTGATCCTGGGTCTCACTAAGTTGCTGAGGCTGACTTTGACTTTGAAGTTTTGATCCTCCTGCCTCAGTTTCCCCAGTCACTGGGATTGCAGGCATGTCCACCATGTCTGGAATTACTTTTTTTTTTTTCCTTTTTCCTCTTTTAACATTTCTTGTATTCCTGGGTTGAGTTTATGTATCTATTATGATGGATTTCTATTTCCCTCTTTTTAAAAAAATATATATTTTTGTTTTGGTTGCAGTTGGACATAATATTTTTATTTTAGTTATTTATTTTTATGTGGTGCTGAGGATTGAACCCAGGGCCTCACACGTGCTAGGTAAGTGCTCTACCACTGAGCCACAATTACAGCCCTCTATTCCCCTCTTACCTATGATCTTTGTAGGACTGTCTTCTCTTGCAAAAGTGTCTACTCTTTCAATATTTCTGTGAGGATTTTGTGGTTTGGCTTCCCTGCTAGTTCTTTGATGATGATTAGTGTTTGTTGATTTAGTGTGCACTATATCAGATCTTAAGGATTCCTCTTTTCCTGTAGGTCTCAAAAGAGTGGGATTCTCCTTTGTATCTGGCAGATGTGCTGTGGGCTGCGGGGTTTGGGGGCCCATGCCCTGTGATGGCTCCTCATTCACAGCTCTGTGTATTCTAAAGGCAGGGGGTGATCTCGACTCAGACCCTTTGTACCTTTGGTCTTCACAGCCCTTGTGTGAATTCTGTTTCTGCTGCAGAAGTGGCTGCCCCTGGGTGGGACCTAACCCATCCCATCCATGCCTACTTGAAGGCCTGATTGTTAGTTTGGGGACTTTGTCTGGTCTATCCATTGTATTGCTAAAGTGTTAACAAGGTCAAGTTGGATGTGGAGCCAGGTGCTCTCTTGGCTGTCATGGGGAAGCTCAGCAGCAGAGTCCCAACTCTCTGAGGTTCAGCTGTCCCTGTAGACTCCTGTCACTGCACATAAAAGGGGGAAACAATAACAATGATAGAAGCAAACAATATACAGTATTCAAGTCAATACCCATCACCTTCTATGACATCTACAACACTAATTACCACACAGAGTAGAATGGTGGGTCAGCAGTTGCCAAAAGCAAAAATCATAAAGGGCTGTGCCCTAGGTGCAGATCAAACAGCAAGTGTCAACCTCACTAACTCAGTACTAATGACTGCACCCTCAGTGGAGGGGCCAGGACTCACCTAAACTAGGCAGTTCTAAATGTGGTAGATACAGAGTGCTGTAAGAGCAAAGATGATGTGGTAGGAAGTTCAGATGTTCAAATTATGAACAGAGAAAGGTTCAGAAAACTATAGGTCAGCAGGCATATTGGGCTCCCAGAAGTAAATCTTTAGGTGTTTCCTCCTGGCCACTGGGGACTGAGTCCTCCTGGGGACACATTTCAGCAGTCAGAGTCTGGCTTCCAACTTGGGATTGTGTTTACCCCTCTTTCTGCAAGTGGGATTTCATTCTGAGCTGTGAGTGAAGCAGATGCCTTACCAGAGCTGCTTTAAGTGTTTCCTTTTTTTAAAAAAATTCTTTTTATTGTCATATAACTAGTTTTGCATGCACTTAATAATTGTATTTATTTGTTGTCTTTTAATTTCTTTTGCTGAAAATGGCTTGACAGAATCAAATTGTGAAGAAGCCTGGGCCATGCTGCCCCGGCCTTTTCCCAGGTGATGGATGCCTGTCTCTCTCCTATCCAGTCTGGCCAAACCTGGCACTTACCTTCTCTGAGATCAGGGTTGGCTGCCTTGGACACCAAGGCTGTAATTCTTGACACATGCTTATGACTGTGTGCTCAGAGGAGCAGGAAGACAATAGAGCCTGCTGTGGAGAGCTGTCTCAGCCCTGCCTAAGTGGAAATGTCCCCTTGCAGGGAGGAAATGCTGCCTGAAAAGGACTGTGGGCAAGACCATGTTCTTCTGGCCTCATTTATCCAGGTGTCTGATACATCTCCTGTCATTAATAGCCTCCAGATGTGCATATGTGGCCTGGGATGTTGCTGGGGTCTTGTGGAGCCCTGGGCGGGCAGTAGGCAGCTGGTGGAAGGGGGTGGCCTTTCAAGTCTCACAGGCCTTTTTCATCCTATACAGCTCAGAATCCATCTCCAGGACTGTGTCTTCTCTGCTGTGTGAGGCCCAAGTGGCTCTGGCTGAGATTTGTCTCCCTGTGACCTGCAGCTGCTATGAGATCCATAGGAAAGAAGTCAGGACTCTCCAGAAGGCAAGAAATGGTGAGTGTGGGTTGAGGACTGCTCAGGGAGGTGGGCTGTTTAGAACTGGTGGGAACCATCTGTGTGGCTGGACTCTGGCCTCCCACTGTTAGCTCTAGAGTCAGCCAAGCCAGACCTGAGTCAGATGCTGCTACAGCTCAGCCCTTGATGCCTTCAGGCCATGATGTGGGCTGGTGCAGATGGGTTCCCAGTGTGCTGCCTGATCTGTAGCCACTTTGGCAGAACCTTCTCTGTGCAGCTTGATCCACAGTCCTAGGCCCTAAGTGTGCAGGGAAGGCAGACCATACTTCCAGACACTACCTCCCTGTGCACTTCTCAGCATTATCAACTCTTAGTTCTCTCACTACATTCAAGTGGGCACAGTATATGCATTATCATTTTTTCACTGAGTAATGGATGATAATTTTTAAAAGATTTGTTTTCTGTTTGTGAACATCTACCATTATGGGATAGCAGAGAACAGTCACTTGGAATTCCACTGTTAAAGCACTGTAGGCTGGGCAGGATGGTGTATGCCTGTGATCCCAGCTTCTCAGGATGCTGAGGCAAGAGAATCTTGAGGTCAAGCCAGCCTCAGCAATGACAAGGCACTAAGCAACTTAGTAAGACTCTGTCTCTAAATAAAATACAAAATAGGGCTGTGAGTGTGGTTCAATGGTTGAGTGTCCCTGATTTGAATCCGCAGTATTAAAAAAAAAAAAAGGGCTGGGGATGTGGCTCAAGTGGTAGTGCGCTCGCCTGGCATGCGTGCGGCCCGGGTTCGATCCTCAGCACCACATACCAACAAAGATGTTGTGTCCGCCGAGAACTAAAAAATAAATATTAAATATTCTCTCTCTCTCTCTCTCCTCTCTCTCACTCTCTCTTTAAAAAAAAAAAAAAAAAAAAAAGCAAAAAACAAAAAACCCTCTGTCTCCGCCTTCCTTTGTCTTCCCCAGGCACTGATGCCTTACTGTCTTTGGGTTCTATATTCTCAACCACTGTCCTGTAGTTTCCTAGGGTGCCCCAAGGTGCTCACACCTGCCCTGTGCCCTGCATAGTGCAGGCAATTTCAGGCCCTGCGTCAGCTTCTCCCAGAGAACAGCCTAAGGTGTGGGTTGCAGCCATCAGGGGAGCAGCTGGAGGCCCTTATGCTGAGGAATCTCTTGGAACAGGCCTCATCTAGACAGCTGCCTCCTAGGGACACTGTCTCCCCCAAGCCCTGTTCCCATTCCTTGGAGACAGGTGGACAGTGAGCCTGTGGATGCTGGTGCTGAGGGGCCAGGTCAGCAGTGATTCCTGCCCTTGCATTCTCTCACAGTTGTATAGGAGGAAAACTCTCCCAGAGCATAGGACCACCCACCCCAGTGCAGTGCTGTGCAAACCTGAAGGCCTCGTAGACTGGAGTCATGGTCTAGGTCTCCTGGGAGGGTGATCATGGAGTGTTTCAGTGAGCAGGACCAGGTGGGAGATGTCCAGCTGGCAGGGACCTTACCTGCCCCTTGAGCCTGACACATCTGTGCTCCCTCAGTACCAGCCCTTTGTGTTTCTTTACTTTGTTCACTTAATTTGAGGCTTAGGTTTTCCTTAAATGTGAAATTTATTTATTCAGAACCAAATAAGGTAAAATATACTTTATAAAAATCTTTTCTGTTGGATCATTTTATTCATTGGACATAGTTTAAGACTTTAGGAAAAATTCCATGAGCATGGAATGGCTTCTCTTTTATTTGGATGTTGAGGTTTTTCCAACAAGTGTTGCAGTTTAGAAAATAAGTTTTATGTATCATTTATTATTATTATTATTATTGTTATTTATTCTTCTGTATTTATTCTTGGAGTGCCATTGTAAATGAACTTTTAATTGCTTTCAATATTTCATGTGTGAAGTGGATTTTTGATATTTAATTGATTTTTATTGGTTTTGTCTCATATTTTTTACTGCTGACCTTGGAAATACATCTTCCTGTTCGTTGCTTCCAGGCTTTGAAAATCAAGAATACTGCTGCTACAAAGTTTGCTGTGCAGGATTTTTTGTGCCCTACATTGTGAACTCATTTGGGTTACTCCAGATTTGGGAAATGGCTTGGGGTGCAGGAGTCACCTCTATGACCCAGGAGATGGGGTTGATCACTTCAGCCTGTGAAAGTTGAGTGGTCATGTCCCTTTAAGGAGGTTTGTGTGAGGTCTTTGTATTGGTGTGTGTCAGAGCCCTGTGACTTCTCAGGTACTGATCTCCCTCTACATAGCAGGCTTTCTGGTAGGTGCTGCCTTGGGAAATTTAAAAAAAAAAAAAAATCAAATGTCCCTATCCATTTGCAGTAGAGACTCTAGGGAGTAGGAAGCCAGAAACACCAGTCAAATAGGCACCGTGTCAGGTGGTCACTGTTGATGGGGAGAGAGGTGGTGAAGGGTGCAGAGGCTGCTGTCTCCTCCCATCTTGGTGTCTGTGGCTGCTGTCTTGGGGTAAGTGGGTCTGAGCCTGAGCCTGTTCCCACCTGTATCTGCTTGGCGAAGTCCTTGATTTTGCTCAGTGTCTGGGGCTGTGTGAGTTGGCCCTGAGGTCTGGAATACCTTGGTGTTCTTCCTGGCTTCCCTGGGAGTAACCCTCTCTGCTGTGTTGTCAGAAGTAGGGAGAGCAGGCTTCCTTGACTTGTTTTTGTTGTCATAGAGACAGCCTTTCATCCTTCAGTGTAGCCTCAGGGTGTATTGATCCCTGTGGCTCTTTAGGATGTTTCATTCTTTTCCAAGTACATGCGTGTGCTGTTGATGTCGTGAAGATGGGTTGAGCTTGTCAGCTGTTTTTTCTTCATTCTTTCCAGGTATTAATACTTCTCCAGATTCATGATTCACGGGTATTTTCTACAGTTCCTTGCGGTGCTATTTCACTCTGTTGATGGTATCCACAAAAGACAAAATTTTCACTTTGTAATGTTTATTAATTTTAAAGTTGTATGTTTTGTGAGGTACCGTGATCTTTGAGGAAATGCTTTCAGCCTTTCTTTGCTCAGTTTGATATTGGCCTTGGGTTTGTCCATATAGTCTTTGCAGTATAGATGTAAGTTCCTTGTATCCTTAGTTTCTCCAGTGTTTTAAACATCAGTGGGGGCTGGACCTTGTCAAATGCTTTTTTTGCACCTATGAGGTAATGGTGTGATTCTTGACCTGAACTCTGTTTATGTGGTGAATTCTATTTATTGATTTCTGTATGTTGAGCCAAATTTGCATCTTGGGATGAAACCTACTTGATCATGCATTTATGTATGCCGTTTGCTAATACTTTGATTTTGTTATCAGGGTGATACTGACTTCATAGCATGAATTTGCAGTGTTTTCTCCATTTTTATTTCATGGAATAATTTCAGGAGGATTCTTATTAGTTCTTTAAACTTCTGTTGAAACTCGGCTGAGAATCCAATCCATGGAGTCTTGGGTTTTTCTTTGTTGAAAGCCTTTTTAATAGCTGATTCAAATTCATTACTTGATATTTATTGTTTATTGATATTTATTCATATTGGGTACATCAGACATCTCTAGGAATATTTTAATATTTTCAAGATATTCCAGCTGATTTGAGTATAAATTTTCAAAATAGTTTCTGATGACTCTCTGTGTTTCAGTAGTGTCTATGGCGATATTAGTGTTTTCATCTCTAATTTTGTTCATTTGAATCTTATCTCTCTACTGTTTAGTTTTTGGATTTTTATTTTTTTATTTTTTATTTTATTTTATTTTTTTTGGTAGGGGGTGGTGGTTTGTGCTGCCGGTGGAACCCAGGGCCTTGTGCATACAAGGCAAGCACTGTACCAACTGGAATATATCCCCAGCCCTCTCGGTTGTATAATTTGGCTGCAGGTTTATCAATATTGTTTATCCTTTTAAGAAAACCAACTATATTTTATTGCTCTTTTTTTGGGCGAGGAGGGGCACTCAACCACAAAGAAACACATCCCCAGCCCTATTTGTTTTTTATTTAGAAATAGGGTCTCACTGAGTTCCTTACTGCCTCACCATTGCTGAGGCTGGCTTTGAACTCGGAGTCCTCCTGCCTCAGCTTCCCGTGCCGCTGGAATTATAGACATGCACCACTGTGCCCAGTGATCCTTTGTGTTTTTTTTTTTTCTTTTTTTCTTGGGGGGTTCGGGGGGGGCACTAGGGATTAAACTCAGCACTCAACCACTGAGCCACATCCCAGCCCTATTTTGTATTTTATTTAGAGACAGAGTCTCCTTGAGTTGCTTAGTGCCTCGCCATTGCTGAGGCTAGCTTTGAATTCACGATCCCCATCTCAGCCTCTCGAACTGCTGAGATTGCAGGTGTGTGTCACTGTGTCCTTTGTATTTTTCAAATTCACTGTCTCCAGAACTGTTCAGGTTTCCTGTTTCTTCATACCTCATCTCCATGCAGTGTGTTTCTGGATGTCTGTCCACCTCCTCAGTGTTATTCAGTCTGATGTACCTTGGGGACTTGTTAACTGAGGTGTGACCTTCAGTTCCCTCAGCGGTGCTGTTGTGATGGAGGTATTCTGCTGTTGGTCGAGTGTCTTGTGGGGGGCATTCTCTTGACTGTGCCGAGGCTGGTGTTCCAGACACTCAGGCCTCCCAGGACCATTCTTCATGAGCTCAGGAAGGATGGAGTTCTGTGAACACACTGGAAAAATGCCACCTTTCTTCTCCCCATGCAGTGAGAGTGTGTGTGTGTGTGTGTTTGTTTTAGAGGGGCGGGGGAGGGAGAGAAAGGAACAGACAGATCTTCCCTGTGATATACTGGCAGTGCTTCAAGAGGTAAAATGTTATTAATTTGTATGCAAAGTCAAAAAAAACCCTGAGCCTCAGGTCGTGGTCAATTTCTGTAAGAGGCAATACTGCTCAGGGGCAGCTGTCCTGCTCTCCCCACTGCTCGCATCCTGACTGAGGGGCACTGGGCCTGCAGTGGATGCCAGTACTCATCTGCTTGGCCTTCTCCTGGGCTTTCCTCTTCACTTTGAGGTAATCCTTTCTCCATAGGTGACTTTCATCTTCTATTCCATTTCTTAAAGAGTTTTGGTTTTGTCTTTAACATCAGAATCTCTATTCCATCATCCTCTAAGTAATAGAGAGGAACACAGTGCATGTTTGCAATTAGATACAAGTTTGTCTTGGCCCATATTATATTGCTGGTGATTTTTTTCCCCTCTAAATACCTGTTATATCTTTAATCAGCATTCCCTATAAAGGCCAGTCCACAGAAAACTTTCTTCTCTCTTGATTCTTTCTTTATCTGTCTGCTAATATTGTGCTGTTTGGAGTATCATATTTGGAAAGTCCTTTATGTATAGTCATGTGTCATTTAAATACAGGGATACATTCTGGAGGAGCACATTTAGCTTGTCTCCCCATTGCACAAACATCATTCTGTATTCACATGATCCTGGATGGCACAGCTTCTTGCACAGCCCTTGTGACTCAATGTTTACTGCTCAGTTCAGTGTGCTTCTTGCACACTGTGGTATCAGTGGTACCTGGACCACAAACCTCCCCAGCATGTTGTTTTACCAAATCCTGCAGTTGACAGTGCATTAGGTTTATTATACCAGCATCACTGCTCATACACAAGGAGTCCCTTTACTACAGACAACCCTGTATGTATGGCCTATGTGACCACAAATGTCCTTGAACAAAAATCTGCTATGTGCCACATGACTATGTGTTAAACAAGCCAGCTGTCTGCTATTCAGACAACGGTAGCAATTGTTGCATATTTCTTATTCCTATTAGGCTTGGAAAAGTACTTTCTTGACCACTATAAAGTCTATTTTGAAGTTTTGGAAAATTTTGTAAGGCTATCATATGGAAGAGGTGACCTTTGGTGACATTGAATTATTCCTAAGAGACTCGCATCTTTCTGTTTACCCCATTCTTCTTTGACATTTTCAGAAGAAATTAAGAAGCTGTTTATTGATCATTGTTTTTGTTTTTTAGTTGGTTAAATTTGGTCTGAAGTAAAACATTTGCAGCCTTCTAATTGTTCTCAATTCTCATTGAATACATTGTGACCCTGTGGATGAAACATGCCGAGCCCCCAGCCTGCTTGAGCAGAGCATTGAGTTGTTTTATTATTATTATTATTATTATTACAGAGGGGTGATGATTCTTTAAGTTCTAAGGTAAAAATGGAAGAAAATAATAGGCTTTCTAAAGGAAGGCAGAGGTTCAGTAAAAACCATGTTGTTTCCCAACACACTCAGCCCTTGTGACTCAATGTTACTGCTCAGTTCAGTGGGATCCTCCCAAATCCTTAACTCCCCCTACCAGCAAAGTTCCAACTTTGTCAGCAGGTATTTCTGAGGGTAGATACTGTAAGGAGGACTCATTAGCTCTCCTGTGTATGAGGAGGTAAGGGCTTTATTATCCCATATATTAGACATGTACCCTACACAGATGTTAGGAGTGACCAGGGAGCATGACTTACTTCCTGTACTCTATATCTGTAACAAGAAAGGTGTTTTTGCTCTGCTGATGCATTTCAGGATAGTTCAGGTCTTACATTGGAATGACTGTGTTTGGGGAAGTGAGTGCAGACCGAGAATACAGGTTTTGATGACAAAATCATGGAATAAATATTTGGAGATCACAGAATCATGAGAACATCTCACAAGTAGAGAATAGAACTCTCATGCTGTCAATCTCTCCTGGTATACCCTATACTTTTGTGAGACATTTTAGACCTCAGTGGCCTTTGAGGATGTGGCTGTGAACTTCACCCAGGAGGAGTGGGCTTTGCTGGATCCTTCCCAGAAGAATCTCCACAGAGATGTGATGCAGGAAGTCCTTAGTAACCTGGCTTCTATAGGTAAGGATGACTTTTCATTACATAATCAAACACTGAGTGGGGGCGGTTTTTTTTTTTTTTTTTTTGTACTGGGGTTTGAACTCATGAGTACTCAACCACTGGGCAACATCCCCAGCCCGTTTTTGTATTTTATTTAGAAACAGTGTTTTGCTGAGTTGCTGAGGCTGGCTTTGAACTCTTGATCATCCTGCCCCAGCCTCCCAAGTCACTGGAGTTATAGGTGTGCACTATGGTGCCTGGCTCCCCCTTTTTATATTTTATTTAGAAACAGGGAATCACTAAGTTACTCAGGTTGGCTTTGAACTTGTGATCCTCTTACCTTAGCATCCCAAGCTGCTAGGATTACAGGCATATGTCACCAGGCCCAGCAAATGGGAGTTCTTATTACTTATGAATTTGGAACATGGAAAGGGAGGGAATACTTTTGGGAATAAATTTGGGTTAATGTCAGTTCACTCTGCAGCATAAATTCCCCTTTTTTTTCCTTTTTTACAACTTTTAAAAATTGGTGCATCATAGTTGTGTACATTTAAAAATCTTATAATTTATTATGAAGTTAATATGATTTATAATGATTGTTCTGGGTCTACATTTTAGGAGTCAGATGGGAGAGCCAGAACATTGATGATCACAACACAAATTCCTGGAGAGATCTAAGGTAATTTGTACTCACAAGAAGAAGCAGAGTACCTTGAGGAAATAGTAGCATGTCTTTTTATTTTACAAACAAGCAAAGAAAACAAGGATTATATGAACTATGTTTTTTTTTTTTTAAAGTTGTTGATGGACCTTTATTTATTTGTATGTGGTGCTGAGAATCCAACCCAGTGCCTCACACATGCTAGGCAAGTGCTTTTCTGCTGAGCTACAACCCCAGCCCCTATATTTATTCTTTTTTAACCAAAAATATGAACTTTAATATAATAAACATTTAGTGTTTTCAAAATAATTGAAACAAACAAGCTGCTTTTATGATACCAGTGTTTTAGTAGTAGCCCTGGAGAAACAGTGTTGCAAAGAAATTGCTACTTTGACTTTCAAACAGTTTAGACATGACAGGAAACCAGTACTGTACCTGACATTAGTAATACTGTAAGTGCAAGATTGACTAATGAATATAAAAGTATTAATGAGCCAACCATAAAATTCCTGGTAATTTTTTACAGAAGTCATATGGTAGGTTCTGGAAAAATGTACAAATGTACTCAGTATGGAAAAACCTTTAGTGAGATTGCAAATCTTAGTCTTAACCATGCATTTCCTACTAAAGTGAGTCCATGTGGAAGCAATATGTGTGGATAAGTCTTCATTTATAATTTTTTCCTTAATAGGCACATCATACCTCATTCTGCAAGCAATCCATATGAGAAAGAAGAGTGTGAAGGAAAGCCATATGAATGTAAACAAAAAAGAACATTTTTAATTTCTCTCACAAGTGTTCAAAGACAACTGACACCACACACTATAAATGAACCTTATGAATGTCTGACATGTGGAAAAGAGTTCAATTGTTCCAAGTGTGTTAAAAAATATGGACGATCTCATAATGCAGAGATGTCCTATGGATGTAAGGAATGTGGGAAAGCCTTCACTAGTTCAAAATACCTTCAGATACACATACGAACTCATACTGGAGAGATGCCTTACAGATGTAAACAATGTGGAAAAGCCTTTACTCGTTCCTCTTCCCTTCAAATACATAAACAAACTCATGCTGGAGAGAGGCCCTATCAGTGTGAACAATGTGGGAGAACCTTCACTACTTCTTCTTATCTTCGCCAACATGAACAATCTCATACTGGAGAGAAGCCTTATAGAAATAAACAACATGGGACAGGCTTTGCTACATATAGTCAGCTTCATTCACATGAATGGACTCATACTGGAGAGAAGCCCCATGAATGTAAACAATGTGGAAAAGTCTTCAGTAAGTCAAATTACCTTCAAAAACACATGCGAATTCATACTCGGGAGAAACATTACACATGTGACCAATGTGGGAAAGCCTTCACTTGTTCCAGTTACCTTCGAAAACATGAAATTACTCATACTGGAAAGAAACCTTATGGATGTAAACAATGTGGGAAATCCTTCACTAGTTCTTCTTACCTTCAAATACATAAACGATCGCATACTGGGGAGAAACATTTTGGATGTAAACAATGTGGGAAAGCCTTCACTTGTTACAATACCCTTCAAAAACATGAAAGAACTCATAGTGGAGAAAAGCCCTATAAATGTGAACACTGTGGGAAAGCTTTCACCACTTCTAGTTATCTTCATGTACATGAACGAATACATACTGGAGAGAAGCCTTATAGATGTGAACAATGTGGAGAAGGCTTTGCTTCATCCAGTCAGCTTCACTCACATCAACCAATCCATACAGGAAAGAACCCATATGAATGTAAACAATGTGGTAAAACCTGCACCACATCCTATTACCTTCAAGTGCATAAAAGAACTCATACTGGGGAGAGGCCCTATGAATGTAAACAATGTGGGAAAACCTTCATTAGGTCCTCTGTTCTTCACACACATGAACAAACTCATAGTGGAAAGAAGCCCTATCAATGTGAACAATGTGGGAAAGCCTTCAAGTGTTTTGCTTATCTTCAAAGACATAAAAGAATTCATACTGGAGAGAAGCCCTATGAATGTAAACAATGTGGGAAAGCCTTTGGTAGTTCACATCACCTTCATGTACATGAACGATGTCATACTGGGGAGAAGCCTTACAAATGTAGGCAGTGTGGGAAAGCCTTCACTAGTTCCAGTAATCTTCACATACATAAACGAACTCATACTGGAGAGAAGCCCTATCAATGTGAACTATGTGGGAAAGCCTTTACTACTTGTGCTTACCTTCACATACATGAACGATTGCATACTGGAGAGAAGCCTTATAGATGTAAGCAATGTGGGACAGCCTTTGCTACAGCCAGATTACTTCGTTCACATGAACAGTGCCATATGGGAAAGAATCCCTGTGAATGTGCAGAGTGTGGAAAATCTTTCAGTAGTTCCTATTATGTTCAAATACATAAACGAATTCATACTGGAGAGAAGCCCTATGAATGTAAGCAATGTGGGAAAGCCTTCACTCATTCATTTTCCTTTCGAATACATAAACGAACTCATACTGGAGAGAAACCCTATGAATGTAAACAATGTGGGAAAGCCTTCTTTAGGTCCACTCACCTTCACTCACATGAACAAACTCATACTGGCAAGAGGCCTTATGTATGTGAACAATGTGGGAAATCCTTCATTTTTTCTACTTCCCTTCAGAGACATAAACAAATTCATACTGGAGAGAGGCCCTATGAATGTAAGCAATGTGGGAAAGCCTTCCCTGTGTCTGATGAACTAAACAGACATGAAAGAATTCATACTGGAGAGAGGCCCTATGAATGTAAGCAATGTGGGAAAGCCTTCACTACTTCTTCTGGTCTTTACAGACATGAAAGGTCTCATCATGGAGAGAAGTCTTATGAATGTAAGCAATGTGGGAAAGCCTTCACATGTTACAGTTACATTCTAAAACATAAAAAAACATGCTGCAGAGAAGCCCTTTTAATGTAAGCAATGTGGGAATGCCTTCACTGTGTCTGCTAATCTTCACAGAGATGGAACAACTCATACTGAAGAGAAGTCCTGTAAATGTGGGAACGCCTTCATTGTTACATTTACATTTTAAAACATCAAGCAACTTATACTGGATGGAATCCCTATTTTGTTTTTTGGTGGTGAGGGTCCCTGGGATTGAACTCGGGGGCACACAACCACTGAGCCATATCCCCAGTCCAATTTTGTATTTTATTTAGAGAGCAGATCTCACTGAGTTGCTAGTTGTCTTGCTTTTGCTGAGTATGGCTTTGAACTCGCGATCTTCCTGTCTTGGCCTCCTGAGCCACTGGGATTACTGGTGTGTGCCACTGTGTCCAACAAGAATCCCTATTAATTTAAAAAAAAATGTGAAAAGCACTTCATTTTTGTGGTTTTAAACCCGAAAGTAGTTGTATTGGAGGAAAGTCTATTGAATGTCAAAAACTTGAGAAATCATCCAATATTTTTAGTCACCTTCAATGATATGAGAGGACTCCTAGAAAAGTTGTTGAGTATGGTGTGTTTCTCTCTCTGAGTGTTTTCTGTTGCCTTCAGAACATTTCAGTCACTCATCTGGGGAAATAAACCCCCAGAATGTGTGTTGTTTCATTTCCCTTCCTATGCATGAGAATACTCGCAATGGAGAAATCACCTGAGAATGTGAGAAATGTGCCAAAGCTTAAGTTTTCCCCAGTTCCTTTGAAAGAAAGATTCACACAGATAAAAACCTATGAACATAATAAATCTTATAAAGATATTTGGTGTTCCAGTTCTCTTCGTATGTTACTCAGCTTTCCATTGTTGTGTCAAAACATGAAAAACTGAACTTATGGATGGAAAGATTTCCTTTGGCTCACATGATCACAGTTTTCTGTGACTATTGCTTTGGTCTGAGGTGACTTAAAAACGGATAGTGGAAGAGCAGAACTGTTTGTGTCATGGCAGAGGGAAGAGGATATGGAGGGGGATGAATGAGTCAACAACCAGACACCTGACGGCTAGTTTTGTTTAGGCTCCCTGTTTTCTTAACAATAAATTAGGTGTCTGTAAATATGATAAATGCTTATAAATTGTGTGATTTGTAGTGTTAAGGTTATAATAACAGAAATAATATAAATCAGTTTTTCTGGAGTTAAAATACTGAACTTTTAACTATCATGAGGTTGAAGTTTATTCTTTCTCAACTTTTTGAATTTTGTAAACTCAAATATATTCATATTTATTGTCACGTGTTCTTTTCCACATTAGAAATTTATATGAGGAAGCATATGATTCTAGAGTTCACGCAGTATATATTTTTAGATTATTATCATAAGGCAAACCCTTTAAGTTTTGCTAATTTTCTAGGTTTTTAGTAAATATTGGAGTGCCAAGCTTTCTAATTGGTATAGTTTTCTATATAAATTGTAGAATAAAGATGTGCTTTTCATGATGAAACTATTTTTAACAGCATGAAAATATGACTTGTCAAAAAAGAACAACCAATTCAGAATTTTTTATAGTGGGGATATAAAAAGAAGGTAAAGCAGCAGGGAAGCAGTAAGTAGGAGAGAGGTGTTGGGGGGCTGTAAGGTGAGCGTGCATATAGGAGATGATGAAAGTCTTTGTGACTTAGTGGAAAAGTGGTAAGTACTGAACACTAGTGCCAAGGAGTAGGGTTATCATGAAAACTGCCTGAGGGCAGGAGGCAGCTTTGGATTAGGGACCAGGCAGAGGTTACAGGAGTCTGGAGAAACAGGCTAGAAAAACCCTGGTGTGTTCCAAGCAGATGGTTATAGGTGGCCCTGGGGAGGGCTCAGAAGATGAGCAGACCAGGTCCAAGACCTTAGAGTTTGGAGGAAGGGAGGAGAGCAGATTATGATGGGAGTGAGGGCTCTGCTGGAAACTGAGCCAAAGACCCCCTGGTTTCACCATAGCAGAGAATCGGCCTGCATTGTGCCCATGGCCTGAGACACTAAGACATCAAAGGAGAGGTCAGAGCAGGAAAGCATTCTGGCCACAGCCTGGGCACCATTCATTGTGTTTACTGTGAGATGCAGGAACAAAGGAAAGCAGAGCAGAGTCCTCTGGAAAATTCATGGCCTGACCAGGGGCAAGGAAAAGGAAAGCTTGTGGTGGAGAAACCACTTGCCCAAGAGATCAGTGCAGCTAAGAGCCCTGTGCTACGTGGCAAGACAAGGAGGAACTGGCCTTCAGGGAGCCTTGGAAGTCTGATGCCATCTCACCCCTCCTGTCACAGCCCAGGGGCACCTTCCACAGGCTGCCTACTCGGGGTCACCTCTGCACTGGGGGCCCTGATCTCAGTGCACTGCTCAGTGGTCCCACACAGCTGCAGGTCTCCTAAGCAGACCAGGTGCATGCTGTGCGAGGGGCACACCCAGGCACTCACAGCAGGGAGCCTGCAGGTGCAGAGTGCAGAGCCCTTAGGGCAGCTGCTGCTTGACTTACATTGAAAGTTTGTTGCAGGGAGCCCCTGATGGGAAGTTCCTATTGGAGCTGTGGGTGTGGAGGTACAGAAAGGTCCTCAGGAAAATCAACTCCCCACCAACTGGATTTGGTAGGGTAGAAAAGCCACTGGCATTAGCATGCAGCCTTGCTAGCAGCCAAGGACCAGGAAAGCCACAGGGACGGAGCTGCCCAGGCTTTGGGAGGGTGAACCCCACAGTGTGCACAGGAGGCTGGACATGGAGAGTTTGGGTTGAATTCCTCCCTGCTGGGTTTTGTCTTGCATGGAGCTGATTCCTCCCCTCTGCTGCTCTGCTTCTCCTTTTGCAATAGGACCGTTTGTCCTGTGCCCTGTACTTTGAAAGTGTGGGATGATTTTTTTAAAGGGGGCTCACACCTGAAGCGGTATTTGTTCATTCTCACTGGAGATGTTGGACTTGTACTTTTGAAATTGTGACACAGACATGAGACTTGCAGGGCGAAGGACAGAGAGTAATGGCTTGGGTATGTTCAAGTGCATCCCCAAAAGCTCACATGCTGATGAGGCTTGCTCTCCAGTGCAGCAGTGTGGGTGCTGCTGGGATTTGTAAGAGATGGTTCCCATGGGTGGCCACAGGTCCCTGGGTTGCTGTCCTCAGAAGGGAGTCAGGTGTGACTGATGCCTGCATGAGTTCTCCTGAGAGGTTGGTATTAAGGCTGAGCGGGGCTCCACCCTGTCTCACTTTCTGTCTGTGAGCTAAGCTCTCACTCCACATGTGGTCTCACCATCACCAGCCACTGTGATGTTCTGCAGCCAAGAACCCTGACCAGAACTCAGCAATGCCAGCGCCTTGCCTCTGGACTTGAGAAACTGACCTGAACAAACCTTTTTTTCCTATAAAGTTAGCTTACGTTTTATTATAGCATCCAGCACAGCAGCTATGATTGTGAACAAAAGTGGAAACATTTACTTTTCCACCATACTTGAAGCTCCAAAATTAAAAAATAAAATGCAATTTTTTTTTTGGCAATGCAGTTACAAGAGAATCTCTTCTTTGTAACAAGATGATATTGAAAAGAATGTTTTACCAAAATTTTCAATGGGATGTCATTTAAATTATTTATAGATACTGAGGACAAGTCTAAAATCTGTCATGGTAAATAGCTCTTTAGTCTATAAATAGTTTTTTCAAGACCAATCTGATATGTAAATATTCTCTAAGTTTCTATGCAAATGATCTGGTAAAACTTGATAAAACTAATTTTGCAAACAAATTGGGTTTTTCTCTGAATATTTTGTGTATACTGGCTTGAATGGTATAGAGAAAATTATTTCCAAAGAAAAACTACAACACCCATTGTGGTTAGTGGCACTACTCATTGTTTTCAAATTTATATTACATGTGTATAGATTTGCCTGGATCTGAAATTTTTCTCATCCCCTTTAATGTAGCTACACAAGTCTCACTTTGTCCCCTGGGTTCTTTCTGTTCATGTAGGTTGCCTTGAATCAGAACAACTGCACTAACTGAACTGTTATCCTCCTTTTGTTTTTATTCTATATTTTTTCTTTAAAAACTTTGTACCTATTTTCTACCAAACTTCTGCAGAAGTTCAGCTGCTAACAGCATAATGCTAGCCAGGTTCCTTCAGTTTCTCACTAGTGTCCATCAGAGAAATAAGATTGAATGCAACTTTGGTCTCCAGGAAAGCAACCTGAGAGCTACTCCTTCCAGGTTCCTTGCTGTGCAGGTGTGGCTTGGATCTAGACACTGAGTCTCTGAAACAGGACCAGACCAACCACTGGGCAGGTCCATCCTGGCACTGGGAGACAACCAGAACCAGAGACAACACGGCTGAATGATAAGAATCTTACAGAAAGATCTTCATCAAAGGCGGAGGTAGGAATGCTGTCTGCTTAAGATGGAGTCACTTGTCTCAACCCCTGCAAAAATAAATAGTCAGGAGGCTATGAAAGATGGAATTCCATGCACTTATGTCTGATAACAAGAACTGTCACGAGAGACTGTCAGGACCACAACCTGGCACAAAGGCTGGTGTGTGTGTGACATTTGCCCAGCCACTGCTTGCACACCTTGGACTGATGGTAGCACTGTTATTTTTCCTTTTACAGCCAAAGGATTGGGTCATCATTTCTAAGCAACTTTGCTACACCTCATTTTGCCTTTGAGAATGTTGTCTTGCTCCTCCTTGAATATGGTCATAATTCACCACATAAAGTGATTCCATTGCAGTATTCATCTAGAGTAAGCCTTTTGTCTTTGAAAACATTTACAATTTTTGATGTAAAAAGAAAGTTTATATCACACACACACACACAAAAAAAATATTATCCTGTTTGGTTTTCCAGATTTTCTTCAAAGATCACATATTTATTGTATGATCAGAAAAAAAATCTAAATAAACCAAGGAACTTTCAAAGAAATATGTATGAACTGGGGATCTGGTTCAGTGGTAGAGTGTGTGCCTGGCATGTATGGGTCCCTGGGTTCAATTCCCAGCACTGCATCAATCATTAATTAAAATAACATGTACATAACAGCTCCTGAGAGCTAATGCCAGATTCCATCCCTGCTGAGCGTCAAGGACATGGTCCCTGACAGGTCACCCACACTAGGTAAAAGCCCTTCACCATAGACAGGCCTCTGGTGCCCAATCCTAGGTATGCTTGAAGATTTGCTGATAGGGAGTGAAGAGTACCCAGTGATCACAGTGAAAGAACTCGATTCAGACCTCCACCCTCATCAGCACTTCTTCATTCTAGGAATCTGAGCAGACGTGGAGGTGAGCAGATATATGT